GTGCTGTGTGTCTTGGTATATGTCACATAGGCTAGTTTTCATCCTTTTGTGACGCGAGCGAAGCCGCGGGTAAAAACTAGTAGTAAATAATCATTATCAACTGAAAATCAGTGCTGTGTGACTCGTGTGCCTAGTTTAATCAGCTTATTTGGTAACCCATTAAGCTTGGGCATGGTGTTAGCATGTTTCTTCTTGGATGTTTTATCTTTTTTTTATTTAGTCGCTGTATCTTTTTCTTTATTTATGCTGCCTCGTAGCTGGTGCTGAATAGATGTTTTATTCTTTCATTCTTCTATTTCTTATTTATTTATTTATGGATTGGAAAACCAACAGCTACACATAGCAAACAAACAGATAACAGATAACATAATAACACCAGAAAGCCAATTACAGGTTTATATTATACTAGTGACCCGCCCCGGCTTCGCACGGGTGCAATATGCATGTATTATACATACAAACCTTCCTTAAGAATCACTCTATCTAATAAAAAAAACCGCATCAAAATCCGTTGCGTAGTTTTAAAGATCTAAGCATACATACGGACATACAGCGAACGCGACTTTGTTTTATACTATGTATTGATTATACAATTAAAATTATTCACTTATGTGCAACATTACCTGTAACTGTAATCCGATCATCCTCGTCATTGTAGTCTTTCTGCTCCAATCCTAAGAAAATTGACACTAAATTACAATTGGCAATTTTCCATTTTCGGTTTTCGAACTCATTATTCAATGTGTCAAAGTACTATATTATAAAAAAAAAATAGTCCAAAGTCCACATAATTCGTAGTGTATGGTCAAATATTTGTTACACAATTCCCATGTAACAGGGTGTTTATTGAAACTTACCTATAACACAACTAGCAATCGAATTTATCGAAGAAGTTAAGGCATTAATGTTAATACTAGTCAGCACCATCAACACCCTTTAGTTAGAATTGTGTTTTTTTTTACAGCTGTGTTAGCGGAGTATTCAAAACGTACATCACTCAGTACCTATATTGTAAACATAATAACATAACCAATTAATGATAATGTTTTTCGGATTACTCACGTAATCGACTGCACGGTTGGTGCGGTGGCTGGGCAACCGGCTGCCGTGCAACGTGTCGCGGGTTCGATTCCCGCACGGGACAACACTTTGTGTAATCCACAAATTGTTGTTTCGGGTCTGGGTATCATTGTGTATGTGAACTTGTATGTTTGTAAACGCACCCACGACACAGGAGAAAATCCTAGTGTGGGGCAACTTTTTTATAAAAAAAAAAAAATATTTGACGAGTAATCCGCCTAGTTTCAAGCCTATTTTTTAAGGTGCGAAAATCATCGAATGCCTTCTCCCACCTGGGTGAGGCGGGAGGAAATATCAGCCTCTTATTGACTAAAAACCAACCCGTTCCTACTCCTGCACTTCGAGTCGGAGCCCCGGTAACCCGTTGAGTTCTCCGCGGCTCCGTATCGGCATCAGCCCTATTGGGCCTGATCTGTATGGTGTTCTGATGGCTCTTTGAGACGCGCGCGCGCGCTGTCTGGTTCTAGTCGGGCGGCGAGCTACCGTTACTGTTCGCAGGCCCGTGCTTACGGTAGCCGGAGAAGTTTCAAGTCATGCAGGCTCATATTCATAAGCATTCCGCGATCAGCGACGCGGCGACTATCGCGCTGATACTCATACGTAGCCTGAATGGCTTGAAACTAGTCGAGTTCTTCGTTATATAATTACGTGAGTAAACCGAAAAACATGATAATAGGCATGGCGACTATTTTTTAATTTTTTGTCCGTCTTTTAGATATTTTAAAAATCTTCGATACGTATTTTTCTTTTTTCTCGTATCCAAAAAAACATGTAGATATTTTGAGTTAAAATGACGCGTGACGTCACAATTAGGTACGATTTCTCCGTAAGTGTGACGTCAACACCCCCCACTCCCTAACTTTAATGCGAAATAACTACGTATTCTTCTGTTAATTTGATAAAACAAAAAATACGTGTCTGATATTTTCGTGCGATCTTAATGACGGACTAATTACTTTTTTGATTCTTTTACCCTGTTGACACGCCTATTATTTTGTATATCTCGCGAAAGTTATAATATAAACATACCAACAATAACATCAACAGCCTATAAATGGCCACTGCTGACCATAGGCCTCTTCTCATAGTGAGTCGGTATAAACATAACCAGTATTTTATTTTTGTTTTAATTCATGTCAAGGTATGAAATGAAACAAATTGTCATGTTTATTTTCAAAATTTTAATTTTTATTTACAATTTCCTTTCGATTTACAATAATTAAAAAAGTCTTTGGACAAAATTATTAACAATACAAAATGATTAATGTGATTCGTGCTCTTGTGACATAATATTATAATTAGTTGAATAAAATTATAATAATATACGAGAAGAAACAATTATTTTTACAAATATCAACAGTACTGTATATTTTCTTCATATAACTATGCTCACTTTCATGTTTCAATAGTTATATCAACATTCAAAGGTTATTTATGGGTCTATGTAATAATTGATTGAACTTTTATTTGACTTTATTAAAAGAGCAAACAAAAAACGTCTTTCATGAATTAATATTAAAGCTCTAATCGCCGTACTCAAAGTCATTTAATGGATACTGATCCCAGTCCTTAGCAGTTATTTTCAGAACAACATCTTTATATAGTCATCGATTCGTTTAAGTAGTCATTAAATGCAGAGACATTTGAGTATGACAGTAAAATACAAATATTAAACTTGAATAAATATTAAATTGACAACGGATGTACCATTGTCAAATTAGTATCGTCCAAGGTCAACTCAATACAAGTACATCTGTACAACCAGTAATCAACTCAAATCCTTAATCCTCAAAAGGTCGGTAACTCCTCGTGTTGCAGCATCTATGAACACGATGCACACCGCTTTTTTTATATATTTGATGGACCGACGTATGCCCACTATCTCGCCTGGTGGTAAGCGATGATGCGGTCTACATGGAGCACGTTGTCCCATTAGCAACCTATTTACTCGGGCCTTGAAGGCACCCAGGTTATACCGTTCAGGAAATACAGACTCTTGCAAAGAATTTCTCTCCTTAGCAGATTACCATCACGTAATTCATCTCTTCATTTGCCGACGTATCTCATAAAAAATGCCACTTAAATTCTTAGGAATTCTCCATAGTACAGATATATTTGTTTATGTTACTGATACTATTTACAAATTACTGACAGTAGGTATAAGTAATTACATTATTTATTTAAACCTATTTATTTCGATGTTAAGTTTAATTTAGAACTATTATAAATCTTTTATTATTATTAAGTCTCCAAACGATTGATGCATTACTTCGGTTGTAAGTAATTCTTTAGTAGCTAGTCTTTTCACTAGTAAGTAATTCTTCAGTAGCTATTAACATAAAAATAAATATTCTCTTTTTGAAAATTGTATTCCATACATATAATATTGTACATCTAAAAACCTAGCTGAACGAATGAAAAGAAAACTTTATATCGAGCCCATATTTTATTTTGTATCTCCATCAATTCATTCGCAGGTTTTCAGGAAGAAATTTCAACAGGAATGTTCAGTACCTATGTAGGTAGTGATAAACGATAAAAATCATCTTGAGTACCTACTGAGTTTTACTCAAAACTAGGTTGTAGGTCCCCTAGTTTTTTTATTAGGTTTAAGCCTAGTATACACTAGGGGACAAAGTCGCGCGTTGTTGCCTTAAATATAAAGCGAAATCGGGCGGTTGCGCTTGAAATGTCGACAATACATGTCTTGGATCATTTGTTCCCTAGTGTATCCTTAGCTTTACTATTTCTTATGTTGTAGATTAATTATAAAGTGTATAAATAACTTGACTTTTCTTTTCAATCGTCGACTAACTTTTAAATATCATTGTCATGGGCATAAATATATGTAGATAAGCAAATCTACATTTTATTGCAAATTAATTAATTAACTGAATCTAAATTTTAATCCTCATTATTAATGTACACACGATCACATATCAATCTGTACAAAACCATTTTATCCTGGTATCGCGTCGCATCATCTTTCCGCACATTTAACGTTCAGTTTATATTGGTTATGTAAAGCTCGTGTGTACATCTCACTGTCCACTTGGTTCATTGCATACAGTTCACCAAAGCTTAATAGAAACAGTGATTAGCATGTACCTATTATGTATCATAAAATTCACGTGCGTGGAACTAGCTGGAGATTGTGTTGCGATATAGAACAATTTTAAATAATTTTACAATTCGTGAACAGAATAGGGCCTATCGTATTTTTGCTCACCAGACAGCGCTAGTGTGAACCTCTCGTTCTTCGTCCAATAGGGAATTGTCTAGTGTCACGTTGAATATTTGACAACTGCTATGATTGGACAAAAAATATTTTTCTTCATTTGCGCCACCTGATGTCCAAAAATACGGTAGTAATATATATGTAGTAATATATAATAGTAAAAATAAAACTGTAATATTAAGAATAATGCAAACATTTTGCTTGCTATTGATTTGGTTGCAGTGACGATTAGATTTAACAAAAAGTAATTTTATATTCATGACTTAGGGTTTAAAATTGTGCACAATGATGCTATGCCTGGTATATCTTTCATAAACATTTATAAATACATATTTTCGATGCTTATATTATAAGTTTTATTAATGTTTTTGGAGATTGAACATTCAAAAACCAAGTTCTTGAATGAATACTATAGATATTCATTTTAAATATAAGTAGTTGTATAGCTTTGAATTTTTTACCGACAAACTGTACATAACTTGAATAACAATTAATTATATTAACAAAATAATGAAAATTTAATTTTCCTCGTTAGTTACACTTAACCTAGGACCATTTTCAGCCCTTATAGTTATCACAATATCGTTTACTGTGTATATTATATAATTTCAGCAATATTTACACATTGTAGAATAGGTACTTATATAATATATAGAATATAATTACATAGAAAATGGAATGTACAAATTGTGTTAGAATAATATTTTTTGAATTGTGATGTAAAGCAATTTGAACTCTTCACAAAAAGCAGATAAAACACAAAATGCGAAGAATTTTTTTAAACAAAGTGATTGTGTGTGAGATTGGGTATTAATAAAAAATACTTTTGGTGTTTAATTACATAAAGAAAGTTATAATATGTACGGTATTTAGTCTACATTACACATGGTTATTTTTTATTAGGTGTTTATCTTTTATATTCAAAAATATACCTTGATATTGCTATTTAATAAGACTTTCTTGCTATTCGTGGTAATAACTTCACTAAAGTGTCTTTTACCAAATAATATACTACTTTTTTCAAAATTAACGATAATATTCAATCAGATCTGGAATGAATAAATCAGTTCTGATACATACATAATGAGTAACTTAAAAAAAAAAACTAAAATTAAACACTCAAACGTAAAAAAAATCCAAAAACGCAGTGCTTAAATAAAATATCGTGTTTACAATTACTTACTTATCACACTAAATTCGTATATTAAAATTAAAACTATGGTCTGTATTCAGCCGCCAAGTAGGGCTGACCTGGCCACGGCTTCGTATTTATCATCATAATCGTCATATTCAACGAAGGGCACTATGTAGTCTTGTCCCATCACTACAGGCAGCAAGAACAGAAGGAACAACAGGATCCAGCTTTGGAACGTCTTGGATGCACTGTTGAGGGTGACTGGAATCAGAAGATAATGGCAAATTAGTTTGTTACTTCATAGAATATAATTTATTTATATTTATTCTTCATTTTTCCTATCATCCTTAACAATAAAATATAGTTATGAGTTACATAGTGTAACTTGTATTATATAAAGTTCCGGCACTTGTGGAGAGATGGCGCTAGGTGTTGTTATGTTTTGTACAATGCCGCCACAGTACCATTCACTCGTAAGTTTTAATTTCACTACCTCGATGACAGAGTGGTCACATGTGTGACTGCCGGGTTTTTAGAAAAATCTCAGTAGTAGCACGGAGTCTGAAATTGTGTCCAGTACATGCCAATAGGCTCCTTATTACATGGGACTCATAACATAAATAGTGAAAAGTAGGTGTCACATTGTACAGTGGCATTAAGTACCGTAATGTGCACCTTTGCCTACCCCTTCGAGAATAAAAGGCGTGATGTTTTGTTGTTTTAATTTCACTTTTCATTCTCTTTGATAATGTTTTACTTCTATTTCTTGTAATCAATTTTATTAATAGATGCTTCAGACTGTCCGTTGCGTATATTTTTCTATTCCAAAGGATACTCACTCCTCTCAGGCCGAGGATCCGTATCAGGTGTAAAGAAGTCCAGGTTTGCTGAGCTCCTGTACACGTCATACACTGTGGCGAGGCAGGCCACCCTAAGCCGGCCGCCGAGGAACAGCTCTGGAGTGACCTTCACGTCTGCTTTGACGCTGGTCCATAGTAAACCACTCTCAGATGGATGAAGACTTGTTTCTGATGAGCGGAGCTGAAATGAGATGAATGTAGAAGTAAGTACGGTTATATTTATTTAAAGAGTTGTTTTCATAATTCAAAGAAATAGAAAAGAGGAACTGCTGAATTCGGTGTAGGTTTTATTAGAATACCTATAGTGGTCAAACGTCCTATCAAATCTATACTAATATTATAAAGCTGAAGAGTTTGTTTCTTTGTTTGTTTGTTTGAACGCGCTAATCTCCGAAACTACTGGTTCGAATTGAATAATTCTTTTTGTGTTGGATACTCCAGTTATCAAGGAAGGCTATAGGCTATAAAACATCACGCTACGACCAACAGGAGCTGATCAGAGCGTGTGAAACCGCGCGGAAGTAGCTAGTATAAAAAAAAAGTCCTTATATATCTTTTCGGCAACACGTGAAAGAAAATCGACGCCCCAATTGATGCCCGAACTACAAATTTTAGTAACTTTTAGACGCAATATATCAAAGTATTCTTAAAAAGTATTTTCTTATAGTAGCGGTAAGTATTTGTCAACATAATTCTAAATCTAGACAACTTGCTTTTAAAATATTACAAAGATCCAGACATTTGCCACACAATTTTAACTTTTATAAACACGAAAGTCACCTTTACTCACCAACAATATCAAATAATAATACTTATAAAAATTTTTGTTAATATTAAACAGGCTTTTCTAAAAGAAATGATTAATGAATACGATTAGATTTTAAAAAGAGCCATCTGTTGAATCTCATTGAAATACCGAGTAACTTGCAGGTGGCCTACCAAAGAATGTAATTATAAAACTTTTACACCTACAAATTAAATAAATTAATAACAATTAAAATTGTATAAAGCTAAACTTTTATTCGTTGAAATTAAAAAGTTATTTTTATGAATGAGTGCTGTTAAGTGCGAGTAATTTGATAAATGAATTTTTGTCTGAAAACTCACCTGAGACTTGAAATGTATGTACTAGTATTTATCGCATGTCTATGTGATTTTCAGGTGATAAATGTATGACAGTATATGATAATTATAATAAAAGTAATGTATCAATACTAATGACAGTTATTTCTCTTTCCTTCAGACTTTGTGTTATTACAATACTTCATTTTAGTAAAGATCTTGTCTAGTATCCATCATCTATGGTGAGCTCGAAGCCAAACGACCAATCGCGATGCGCGTACTGATTATAATGGAATTTCAGTTCAATACATTCATTGTAGGTTTATTATTAGGTATCATAATGCATTATTAGCGTAAATAATCAAATATCATCGTTCTACGTAAGTACTTTATATGCTCTGCTATTTTATAAGTTAATTTGCAAAATAACTTCTGAATCGACGGTGTGATTAAAGTTTCGTTTTCCGAAAATAAGTGAATTCGACACTAGCGATCGAGGGACAGTTGCGAGGTGACTTGTGTGACGACTTTAGAGATTTTCAGAATAGTTACTTCTGCTTTAATGATTTAGTGAATTGGGAAATATCCATACTTATATATTTTGTCGTAAAAAATAACTTACAGCCTCCTCATTAATGTAGATGGTAAGGTTGGCAGCTGGCCGCGCTGGTGATGATGTGCAGTTTGCCTTCAGCACCTCTCCTGGCTGGTAGCGATCCTTATCAGCCTTCAGCACTGGAGCGATAGGTGGCAATGCTGGAATGGTAAGAAGAAAGTTTTTGGAAATAGGCTAATATTGTGGTTTTCTTTTTTAAAGTCAAAGTCAAAGCATTTATTTCAATTAAACCATTATTTGGTACTTTTGAAACGTCAACAAATACAAAATAAATAATAGTCTGTCAGTCAGTTCGTGAACGAAGCTAGATAAAGGTAGGTGCTCATTCCAACATGTAGATTCGAATGGAGAAGAACGAGTAAGAAACTCCTTTCGTTACTATTCAAAAAAAAGTATGTTCTACAATGTCAATGATAATAATATTATGATCGTTAGTACTACCCTGGGAAGTAAGAAGTTTTGGTTTTGATTGAGAATCTACTTATTGTGTTTGTATTTTTACCTAATCATAAGAGATGGGTACAATATAGAAAACATGTCTATTTGTGCTTTATTATTGTGTGACTGCCTCGTTGGCCGAATGGTCGCAAGTGCGACTGCCAGGCAAGGGGTCTCGGGTTCGATTCCCGGGTCGGAAAAAGTATTACTGAGTTTAAAAGAAGAATCTCAGTAGTAGCACGAAGTCTGGAAATGTGCCCGGTATATGGCAATAGGCTCACCCATCATTACATGGGATTCATAACATAAATAGTGAAAAGTGGGTGTTACTTCTGTGTGCACCTCTACCTACCCCTTCGGGGAGAAAAGGCGTGATGTTATGTTATGTTATGTTATGTTTATTTGTCCATGAAAATCATAAAATCTTAAATCACTTTTAAACCTCTCAATTAACTGCGATTGCTTGCAATCGTTCTACTAAGATGTACTGTACAACAGACACAGCATGAAAAAGATTTCATTCATTTTTATGAGTAACAAAATTTAAACACTAAGAGTCCGTAATCTCACACATATGTAGCTTCACTAATATTCTCACTTAAATATTAAGTAGGTAAACACATTAGCTTATAACACCAGGTGGAAATTGTATTCCAAGTTCATTAGTAAAGTCTAGAGGCCTAATTAGACATTTTAATTGGATTTTACAATGTAATCTTGTCTGAGTATTAATCTACAGAGATAGCCTTTCAGAAACAGAGCTCAAAGGATCAAGATTACTATACAATGCAAGGTACATTTGGTAGTGTCGAATTTCAGATCAAGATTTCGTGATCGCTCCTTTGACATGATTTTTATAAATATTTGATAGTACTTCAAAATATGTCACTTTTACGTTATGTTTAATACTTTAATTGTTATTAACTAAAAATTGCGGGTTACTCACGTGAGAAAAGCTCTACAGCTTTTCTCAGTATACTATAGTACTATCAGTATACTTTTTTTTTAAGGCGGGAAAATCATCGAATGACTGCTCCCGCCTGGGTGAGGCGGGAGGGAGTGTCAAACTCTTACTGACTAAAAACCACCCCGTTCCTTCTCTTGCACGTCGAGTCGGAGCCCCGGTTACCCGTTAGGTTCTCCGCGACTCCGAATCGGCATCGGCCGTATTGGGCCCCATCTGTGGTGGTCTGATGGCTCTTTGAGGCGCGCGCGGAACGCGACGCGCCGTACGCTCGGGTCTGTTTCTGGTCGGACGGGGAGCCACCCATGCTCGCCGTCCGCAGGCCCGCGCTTACGGTGGCCGGAGATCGTCCCGCGATCCCCGACGCCCGGTGTGTCCTTCGCGATGGCTGGGTTGCGAGGAGGCAGCGCTTCGCTGCCTCACGCGTCCCGCCTCCTCCTTAGCTAGCATGACTGCTTCGCAAAAGGAGGAGACGGCATCCCAATCCCCCTCGCTCCGCATCATGGCCTGCACTAGGCCCGGACGCGAGAGGTCGCCATCGCCGATCACTTCCCTGAGGACACGGCGGTGCTCAGCCCACGAAGGGCATTCTCCCACCGTGTGTTCCACCGTGTCCTCAGGGCGGTCCTCGCAGTGATGACACCCGGGCGTTTCCTCCCGCCCCATCAGACACAGGTACCTCCCGAAACTTCCATGTCCGGTGAGGACCTGCGTCAGGCGGTAGGTGAGGACGCCGTAGCGTCTCTCAAGCCACTCCTCAAAGAGGGGACTTACCGCTGCGATGGCAGCGAGCCCAGCCCTCGGTTGCGACAGTCGTTGCTGCCATTCCGCCATGAGA